TCAGCAACACAGTGTTAACCAGACATTTTACTTTTGCCAATCCATTGAGATGAAATCTCATTTCATTTTTATTTTCATTTGCATTTCCCTGACTACCAGTAAAAGATGGATCCTTTTATGTGTTCATTGGTCATTTCAGTCTCCTCTGTGAATTTTCTGTTTGTGTCCTTTGCCTGTTTTTTCGTTGGGTTGTTTGTCTTTTTCTTATTGATTTGGAAATATTCTTTATAAATTCTGGGTATTTATCCTGTATCATTCATGTTTTTATCTTTTCACTTTAGTTTCTATTGAACAAAAATTAAAATTTTTAAATTTTAATTATAATATATTTCAAGTTTTTCATTTTTTTCTATATGGGTTTTAATTTTATGACTGTTTTCAAAAGCCTTTCCATAGGTCTTAAAGATTTTCTCCTGTGGTTTTTTTTTCCCTGAAAATTTTAGAAGTGGCTTCTTAATCTACCTGGGTTTGAATTTTGGATATGATGTGATGCAGAAATCCAACCAATAGAATTCAAAGCTATAATCTCCGGAAAGGAAAAAATCAGAACCATGACTATTTTTATGAAATTCAAGACAATTAATTGGAAAACTGTTAGAATACATGAGTTTAGTAGGGTGCCTGGATTCTAAATAAAAAAACTAAAATAAATTGCTTTTTTCCATGTATGAGTTATAATTAATGTAATAGGAAAAAGATAAGTTTACAACAACAAAAGATATTAATTACCTAATAATAATCTTATCAAAAAAAAAGTGTAGAAGCTATTGAAAAAGACACTTGTGCCATGCTCCTTTGTGAAAAGGCTAAAAAGTGTAAAAATGCCTGTCTTTCCAAAATTAATTAATTGTAGGTTTAATTCAATTATAATAAAAATTCCATTTTTTTAAGGGAATTTTATACTGTTATTCCAAAAGATGTCTCAAAAAATAAGCAGAAGCAATATCTAAGACAACTTTGAAAAAGAAGAGCAATATTGAGACTTGTCCTTCCAGATATTAAAATCTATTCTAAAATTCAGTCATGTTGGTTGAAGAACTGGTGGCCAGATGGGTGGAACAGAATGGATAGCCCCATGGTATAAATTAAAAACAAATATCCGATCAAGGAATTGTTACAAAATCAGCTTTAATTTATTCAGCAAAGAAAGTTTTGGCAATCAGGGGGAAACTTAAATGTAACTTCACTCTTTAGTGTATTAAATTCCAGATTAATCAAGGGTCTTTGAAACCACAAAGTATTAAAAGAAAATATAGATGAACATATATCATCACTGGACAGGGGGATAACTTTCTAAAGCATAAAAGCAATGAAAGAGATTACAAAGAAAAAATTGATTCAAATTACCTGAAAAATGGATCCAGTCTGTCACACATATACGCAGTGGTTAAATCATGGTTCTTTTACACATTTGGTACTTTTTTTTGTTTTTGCAGGGCAATTTGGCAGTAATTTAATATACACATTAATTTTTCAAAACTCCTCTTCTAGGAATTTATCCTAAGGAAATAAGCAGACCATAGTTTTATGTACAGGAATATAAGTCATGTTGTTATTTATAATATTGAATAATTATAAACCTAAATGTTCATCAGCAGGTGAACCGTTAAGTAATAGTCCATTCGGCCATAAAAAATAGTGATGTAGATCAGTGGTTCTTAACTCTGTGGAGATCATTGGACCCTTTAAGAATCTGAAATACAAAATAAAAAAAAAAGCAACTTTACTAGTAATCAAATAAATGAAAATTAAAACAAGATACTTTTTTAATCCTATCAAATCAGCAGAGGTTTTAAAAATGTGCCATGCTCACTATTAATAACAGTACAGTGAGTTGGACGTGCTCATACATTACTTATTATAAAGTAATATCGGGAGCCTTAAATTAAATTTTTCCCTTTTACCATAGTACTTCGATTTTTAGTAGTCTAAAGGAAATAACCACATGTGGGCAAAGAACTATGAACAGGTTTATTTTAATCCATCCTTTAAAATTTTTTCATTTTAAAACCTCTGTTGAGATATAATTCCCATATGTTTAAAGTGTACGGGTTGGTAAGAATCAAGATAGTGAACATACCCGTCCGCCCCAGAAGTTTCCTCACGCCGTCTGTAATCCCTCCTGTTTGTTTCTCACAGCTCTCCCATCTCCAGGCCACCACGTATCTACTCATCTACTCTCTGTCACTACAGTTTAAATTGAAATTTTAGAGCTTTATATATGTGGACTCATACAGTATGTAGTCTTTTTTAAAATATGATTTCTCTCAACACATTTTGAAATTCATACATGTTATTGCATGTATCAATAGTTCATTCCTTTTTATTGCTGAGTAATAGTCCACTGTCTGCATAGATCACAATTTTTTATCCATCCACCCATTAGTGGACATGTGCCAACTCATCCTTTTTCAGTGAGAATTAGAAACCCCCAAATGTGAAGAAATAGATGAATGGTTAAATTATACTGTTTCCATATGATGAAATATTGTACAGCTGTGAAAAACCATGTTTTAGAAAACTTTTTAATAATACAGTTTATTTACAATATAATGGTTATTGGAGAAAAGCAGGATATAAAACTTTATTTAAAAGCTATAGCATACATTGAGAAAAGAGTGACAGGAAAAAATAGATTGGTAATAGTGCCAATATTTTTATTTTCCTTATAATGTTGTCTTTGTCATTAGGAAAAATTTAACTAAATGCCCCTTAAAAGAAAATAAGCTAAACTAAACGTGCAGCTACCATACAATGCAGGAGCTGTCTCCTGGCATTTACCTCAGAGGAATGAAAACTTGTATTCACACAGAAGCCTGTACACAAATGTTCATGGCAGCTTTCTTTGTAGTAGCCCCCAAACTGGACCAACCCAGGTGTCCTTACAAAAGTGAATGGCTAAACTGTGGTACATACAAACCATGGAATACTACTCAGGCAGAAAAGAGAATGAGCCACTGATACACATGCAGTGACTTAGGTGAATCCCAGAGAATGATGCTGAATAAAAAAAGGCCATCCCAAAGGGTTGCACAATGTATGACTCCATTTATGCGACTTTTTAAAAATTAAACATTTTTAGAAATCTACATTAGTAGAGATTGGGCAGGGTGGGTATAGCAGGAGGGAGGTGGGCATGGTTATAAGGACTATGAAAAGATTTTTTTGGTGTTAGAACTGTTCAGTATCTTGACTGCAAAGGTGGGATACATGAAAACCCACATGGGCGATGAAATTGTATAGAATAAACACACGACTTTAAGTAACTGGGGAAATCAAAATAAGTTCAATGCATTGTAGCAAAGTCACCGGTTGTGATTTTATACTGTAATATACAAAATATTACTATTGTGGGTAACTGGGCAAAATATACAAGCAATCTCTGTGTTATTGCCTAAACCGTTTGTGAATCTACAATGATCTCAACACAAATTTCAATTTGAAAGAAAAGGAAAGATGAGACAGGAAGCTCCAAAGCAGTATGAAATGACATCCTTGATGCTCTGGCTACATTTGAACCAGAGCAGCAGCGTGGTCCTGTCCTTGGAGCCATGGCCAGTCCCGGGGCATGTGGTAGCCCATCTCGCTTCCCTCCCTGGTTCCCAAAGCAGGTGCGGCACATCCGGGCATGTGGCAGCCCACCTCACTTCTGTCCCTTGTTCCCACAGCAGGTGCAGCACATCCGCATCGATGGCTCCACCTCCTCTGCAGATCGGGAGGACCTGTGCCAGCAGTTCCAGCTGTCCGAGAGACATGCTGTGGCCGTGCTGTCCATCACCGCCGCCAACATGGGCCTCACCTTCTCCTCCGCTGACCTGGTGGTGTTCGCTGAGCTGTTCTGGAACCCAGGGGTAAGGGACACAGAAGTCTTGAAGTCCCCGGGCATGCTCATGGCTGCGGGGAGGAAGGAGCTAGTGTCAGGGAGACAAGGTTTCTGTGAGCTGTCGCTAGTGCCAGTCTCCTCTTCTTCTGTCTATTTCCATTAGCCCTCACAGACATGTTCATACTTTCCACAGAATTCTTTTCATTGAAGACTCGCACATCCATTGGCTGGATGTTCAATTTTCACAACAACCTCCTGAGTAGTAGGATTCTCAACTCCATCTCATCAATGGGGAAAGTGAAGGCTTAGAAGGCTAAAAGGAATCTTAGAGGTCATCTCTCTATGAGGAAATTGGGGAACAGATAGCTCAGGGACATAGCTGTCAGCAAAGGAGAGCTCATGGCAGCACCAGGCCACAGCCCAGCCCTCTGGCTTTCCACCCTGAGCCTCTTTTAATTAATCATCACTGTGAGCTGCTTTAGCCCAGGGTGACCACTGTGGGTGTTCCCTGAACATGGCCATGGTGCCCACTGGCCTTATCTGATCAGCCAAAAGCTGAGACAGCAGGTAGAAGACATTCGTTGGACTCATCAAATTTTCTCCAGAGCTCCAGGAGTTTATTTCCCTTCGAATGTTCTCACGATCAGCCAAAAGCTGAGACAGCAGGTAGAAGACATTTGTTGGACTCATCAAATTTTCTCCTGAGCTCCAGAAAGAGTTTATTTCCCTTCGAATGTTCTCACATACTGTGGCTGTCATTGGCCACACATAGGTGACTGCTTTAATGATGGTTGGACTTCGAGGTGGAAGGCATTTCATAATGGAAACAGCACTCTTGGTTTTCATTCTTCCTTTTAGGGCTTAACCACCCTACTCCTAGTCACATATGGCCTCTCCCTTGGGTGCAATGGGTTTCTTTAGCTATAAGATAACTTTGTTTCTGGAGAGAAGAACAGAAGTATGCCAGGTTTCCTTCATTTGCCCTTCATCACAGCCTGATGGCAGAGCTGGAGCTCACTCCCCCTTTGTAGCACCTAGCACTGTGCCTGACACAGAAAGGCCTCCCAAAGCTGTCCAGCTGCAGATTTATTTTATTTTATTTTTTTCATTTCTTTCTTTGTTTCTTTTTGTTTCTTTCTTCCTTCCTTCTTTCCTTTCCTCTTTCTTTTTCTTTCCCTTTCTTTCTTTCTTTCTTTCTTTCTTTCTTGCTCTCTCTCTCTCTCTCTCTCTCTCTCTCTCTTTCTTTCTTTCTTTCTCTTTCTTTCTTTCTTTCTTTCTTTCTTTCTCTCTTTCACTCTCTCTCTCTCTCTCTCTCTTTTCTTTCTTTCTTTCTATCCATCTATCTATCTATTTATTATGGTGACATTGCTTAATGAAATCCAATAAGTTTACAGTAAGGCATATATATATTTACACTGGGTGTTCACCTCCCATAGTTAGAGTTCTTTCTGTCACCACATTCAGCTCCATATTTAATTCTCCAACCAGTGTTTTGTTTGGTTCTGTGTTTTGTCAGATGATAGGTCATTTGTAGATCGAGGCTCTTGGGCCCTCCACCATGTGACATTGGCAGTGAAGTCCTCTGAGGAAGAAGGGCTGTGGTGGGACTTGGGGGCAAGAGGCTGCCTGCTTCAGGCCTTGACCTACATACAACCTGATCCCCGGGCTTTGCAGGTGCTGATGCAGGCTGAGGACCGGGTGCATCGCATTGGACAGTCAAGCTCCGTGGGCATCCACTACCTCGTAGCGAGAGGCACAGCCGATGACTACCTTTGGTACGGCTGGCCGCTGGCCCTGCAGTGGGGGTTGAGCAAGGGCTGACATCGATGATGCATTTTCTTTGGTTCCTAAGTGCTTCTGCGTTTGCTCTGGGCTTCTGGGATCCCCACAGAAGACCCGTTTGTAACGCCCTCCCACTTTCTTCATGACCATGTTTGGCTCCTTCACTGTGTTCACTGGTGGCCTGCAGGGTACATGAAGAAATGATTCCTCTCCCACTGGGCCGAGATGAGGGAGGAAAACTGATTGAGATGAAATGTAGATGGAATTTATAAAACACTTTGTTCCCAGCCATGAAGACACTTTTGAAAGAGGGTGACTCCCCTCCCCCCTTGCCCGTTTGTGCTGTGCGTTGTTATGACAGAGTCACATCTTATAGCTGCTGGACCATCAGGAGAAACTGGCTCACCCCGGACCATGTAGTGCTTCATTAACAGAGCTGGGGGTTCATGTGTTACCTAAGCAAAAAATCCCAAACTGCTTCTTCTTCCCAATCCCATTTCCCCCTTCCTTGTGTTAAATTTCTTGATTATCTCAGTGTCCACTACTCGTATCTGTTACCAGCCTTGTGACCGAGGTAAGACCGAGGGGTCTTACCTCTGCAGTGTGTGCCGGTTGGCCCTACTTCCCTGTCTTGGTTTAATGGACTCGATAATTGGGCAGCTCATAATAGCAGCAGGTTCAAAATTGTGTTGTAACGAGGGAACACTTATTTCCTACGTCTTCCCATAGAAGGGCTTTAGAACCTGATGGTATGATTGGTTTACAATTGAGAGGAGGCAAAATTTTCAGTTTGGGCATTGTGCCTTGAGAGAGACAAAGATGTGGACCAGTAAGCAAGTCACAGCCCCTGAGGACAAGGAGGGTGGTCTTGTTTTAATCAGTCTGCTGGTTCTGTGCAGGCTGGACTCACTATGGCTCATTTCTCTCCACCAGGCCCCTGATTCAAGAGAAGATTAAAGTTCTGGGTGAAGCTGGGGTTTCTGAGGCCAATTTTTCAGAAATGACAGAAGACACTGATTACATCTACAAGGTAACAGCAACACATGGCTCCTGGACACTGGAGCATAGGGAGGCATTAAGCTGCTTGCCCAGCCCTAAGGCCCTGAGCAAGAAAGTATGAATCACTCCTGGGGACTTCCCTCAGCCCAGGAGCTGAAAACGACTGCCTGCGGTTATTCTCACCTCAATCCATGTGTTCATCCTTTATGGCGAAGCGATGGCACTGATGACTCCTGCTTCAGGCCTTCCCTCAGAGATTCTCATAAAACCAGGGCTTCCAAAACCAGAGGCATTTTCCATCAGGCCATTAGGAAGTGACAGAAAACTTAACCATGGCAACTGTTGAATTGTTGGATAAAGTACATAGCAACACCATACAGCAAAGGCTGCCACTAAAATGTGCCCAGCACAGAATGAGGAAAGTTAAAAATAGAGTATTGCTTTTTTATAACATTTTCCCCTCTGTCGGTGCAGTTTATTCTCAGTGTCTCCCATTTTATAGAAGGGTGAACTGAGACGTGCAGAGCAATGAGACTTGCCCAGTCACAGGCCTTGTGAAGCCAGCCCAGAGTAGATGGCTTCTCCACTCAGTCCAGCATTCCTTCTGTGACAGCCCCTCTTATTATCAAGGAGAGTAAGAGGCCAGTGAGAATTCTTCCGTGGCCAGTTGGGCCTTGGTAGAGGTGCTAAGAGGCAGCTTGTTGGTCTGCGGAGAGGACGGCCGGGGCCCACCAGGCCTGCCCTGGCCTAGCATCCCGGCCTGGTTGCTGCCACGGCCTCTTCCTCCTCTGTTTCAGTAAACTCAGTGGAGTAGAGCAAGAGGCACAGAGATTTCCAAAGGCTGGTCTTTCACCACTCAGGTGGTTGACTTGGGCGGCGAGGACTCTGGAGGTCCTGCTGCTGGAGGGCGGCTCCTGAGGGGATCGTGTCTAACCGGAGAGCTTGGACAGAGGTCTGAGCCTGACGCAGAAGGGCGGCCGTAGGATTGCTTGTCAGGAAGCTGAGTTGCTGTGTCCGTCCTGTGGAATTGCCAAGCATCAGAAACCAAGTTAAATCGATAAAATCTTAAAGGTGACACTCAGGCTTAAGAGTCTGAGGGTCTGATCTTTCATTTACATTTACTTAGCAGTTGAATCCTTTCTTCAGAATGTAATTGGGATGAATAAGACTCGTAGATCATATGTCTAAATAGAGAGCATAAATTATTCTTTCAGATATAAATGGTTAATAAGTCAACTTTAAAATGACCTCATTTTTAATCTTTTTAAAAAACAGTCTAATTCAGTTGAATGGTAAATATTTAACAGAGCCTTGGTTATTATATACCTTGTGAAAATAAAGAACCTTATTTTTAAATGATTCTCAACCATTGAGAATGAGTTTATGAGTTTATTTATTTACTTATAAATTAAACCTATTCATCCATAGTGGCTTTACCCTCAGTTACTCTGAATTTCTGCCTAAAGTACAGGTGCAAGATAATATAAATGGAGTTTATTAATATTTATTTTGATTAATAATTATGTCCATTAAATTTTTTAAATTAAAATAGGGCTGAAAATTTCATCAGCTGCTAGAAGAAGAAAATGTTGCCTCCTACATCGGAGATAAAAGCAAAAGAGGTTATGTCTCACTAAAATATCCTGCCTCTGAGAGGGGAAGTAAAATATTAATCTGATCTTAGAGCTTGCTTCCATTAATCATGGCTGCTGTGAATTAGCACACAGCATTACCATTGTCATAATCAAATGTGCATTAACAGTTATTTCTACTTGGAACAGACTGCTTTGTGTGATGGCATTTCCTTGGCCTTGCAGTTGTTCAGAGGGTGATGAGGAGATCCTAGAGGACTCATGGACAGTGTGGGGCTGAGCTTAATGGTCTTCAGTATCACTTCCCACCTGAAGGACAGTTACTCTTTTTTTTTTCTTTACCCAATGAGCAGAAGAGGAAGAGAAGATGCAGACACTAAGGCAGTAAGGCTGCTTTAGTGATAAAGAGTTTACAGAGCTGGCTTGCACTCGCTATCATGCAGCACCTGATGACCCTCACCTGTGTGTTTTCTTACCAGCCACAGTGGCAGGGTGTCGGTGTTGGAGCCTAGGTTCTTTTATCTTCCCTTTTCTTTCTCTGATGAAGGACCCAAAGCAGCAGAACATCTATGACCTATTCCAGAAGTCCTTTGAGGAAGATGGAAGCGATAAGGAACTCCTGGAAGCAGCGGAGTCCTTCGACCCTGGAAGTGCTTCAGGAACATCTGGAACTAGTTCCCAGGACATAGGAGACTTGCCGGATGAAAGCACATCGATGGACAGTCCAGTGAAGAAAAGGAGATTTGAATTTTTTGATAACTGGGACAGCTTTACCTCCCCCTTGTAAGAAGGGCAAAAAAAAACCTTTTAAAATCATGGAATACATTAAAGTAAGGCATTTTGTTTTTAAAGCCTATGTTCCTCTTGTTATTACAGGGGTGCTGGTCTCTGTCTCCAACCACAGTGAGTTACCAGACCGGGGGTCAACATTTCTTTTCCAGCCTCATTATGTGTGGGTTTACTTGGGTCTTAACAAACCTTAGAATTTCTGGCTGAGAAATAGAGACACTAGATTGTAGTAGTGGTAAATTCATGTTCTTTAAATAATGAGGTGCTTTCTACACAACCCCAAAACATGGTTTTTTAAAATTTATTGATGCAACAAATATTTATAGAGCACCTAATATGTGCCAGGCACTGTTCTCGGTGCTGGCAGTAATTTCCCAAACACAAGAGAAAAAATTCATGCCTTTGCAGAGGTTATCATACCACAGGAGAGGCGATGGTTATAGCCCATGAGGCAAAACGAAGTAAGGAGCTAAGGGTTTAGGGCAGGGCTGCTTTTTCTGTGCATAGCCAGATAGTAAAAATATTTGGCTTTCTGGGTCAGAATATCTCTGTTGAAACTACTCAGCTCTACTGCTGTCTTGGGAAAACAACCATAGATAATCCAGAAACAAATGATTACGGCTCTTCTCCACAACAACGCCATTATGGACACTGAAATTTGAATTTCATATAATTTTCATGTATCACAAATTATTCTTCTTTTGATTTATTTTTAAACAATTAAAAATGTAAAAAACCATACTTAGCTCACAGGCCAAACAAAAACAGGCAGTGAACAGGGTTTGGCCTGCAGACCATAGCTTGCTAACCCGTGGTTTAGAATGGCACTGTCCAGTGTAACATAAGCCACATATTTGATTTTAATTTTCTAATGGATTATTTTAAAAAAATAAAGAAGGTCAAATTAATAATATTTAACCCAGTATATTCTAAATATTGTCATTTCAATGTATAATCACTATTAAAAATTACTGAGAAACTTTACATTCTTTTTTTCATGCTAAGTCTTCAAAATTCAGTGTGTATTTGACATTCATAGACACCCTCCTGCTGCTCGCTCAGCCCCCATCAGGGTATCCAGAGACGTTTGGGTGAGGCTTTAACATGGAGCTTGGTCTGGGTCTTTAAGTGTCTTAGAGAGTGAGATCATAGGATCACATCGCATACTCTATTAATAGTTCCCCTTACTCCAGGGATGTGGCTAGGATACAATGGGTATGCTTCAAAAGTAGAAGTGAAATGCATGGGTGATTTTTTTTTTTTTTTTTTGAAACATACATAACAACCCGTTGTTGCTTAGGAGAATCGCCGACCGTTGTTAAATTAATAAGTCCCCGCTGTAGTCACCTCGGGGCCTGCCACACAGAGTGGCCCCTGTGTTACTGCAGGGTGTTAGAGCAGTCCCTCTCATTGGGAGGGTTTGCCCTTGGTCCTTACAGTTCGGTGCTCCTATCTGAAACCACTAATTCCTCTGTGGTTTTAGTAAATACAGCCTGTTGAGCCTGCATCTGAGGCCCGTAGTTAAACCTCAGTTTCAGCTGCTCTGGAGAAGTCAGTCTCTCTAAGATGTCCCTGGTGTCCTCCAAAGCAAATTTTATTTATACCACATAGCCTGTATGTTATACCATCCAAAATGTACCTCTGAAATTTATTGAAAGCCATCCGGCCATTTCTGTGTGATTTAGTAAAAGACACTTGGATTTATTTATACAGAGAGTGAATACCTTTGGGTTTAAGGAAAGATTTCCACACTAACTCCTTTTCCTCCTGTACTTCGCAGCTCAGTCCAGATGCACACACCCCAGCAGCCACCTTATTTTCTAGAAATGTCAGTTGGAAAAATAAGAAAATGTGGGCCCATCTCATCCCACTCCTGTCCTTGCCATCAATTATCCCCTTAAAGAGTCTTACTAAAAGTACCCCTAGGTTCACTTGCACTGTTTCTGCCTCCCCTTACCAGGGTCATTAAGTGAAGTCTTGTTCCCTGAGTAGCCCTGGTTAGTTTCTGCCCCTAGGGCGGGTATAAGGAAGATCCTGTTAGCTTTGATCCACTTGTGCTTGAATTAAACATGTTTACTTGGCTTCACACAAGCCTTGTAGGTCAGAGGGAGAGCTGAGAATCAGAGCTGGACGCGCCTTCCCTTCACTGCCGGCCCTTGAGTTTTGCTTTGTCCGTGCATTCTTGTCTGTTGAACCTTGATGCTTTCTGAAGCTCTGTTTAGTTGAAATTTAAACTGAAAAGAAGATAAAAGAAGTCTTAACCTTGTTTTTTACCCCATGCTCACACTTCATACCAAGTTCAGCATTACGAGGTAAAAAAATGTCTTAAAAGCTTAAAAGAATTTTATTGGAGCATTCTCTCATACTTACGTTTTATTTTGCCTATGTCAATGCTTTGTGAAATCTCCATTTAAAAAACAACAACAAGAAGAATGCATTTAAAATAAATGTGTGGAGAGAAGGGAGGAAGGAAAGAATCCATTTCAGATACCTGATTCTTTCTAGATGTCAAGCTTGGCCTCAGCAGGTCTTGCTTGCCTCTTGCTGAGTCAGCCCTTCCCTACAGAGCTTGGACAACAGTTCTATGCAGCTATCGCTCTTGTCTTTGGCCACCAGGCACTTCAGTGAAGGGCAAGGAAGAGCTCTTCAGGCAGGAAGTGAAGGAACAACATGGAGCCTGGGTCTCCAGAATAAACCTTTTCTGTCTCCAACATGAGATGAATTCACAATGATGTTTGCAACTCAGATTTCTTTCAAGAATAAAATGTTCCATATGCCCCGAAGAGAACTGGTTGACTCAACTCTTCTCTGGAGGCAACTTGTAGCTTATTTATTTTTCTAAAGGCAAAAGTGAATTTTCAGTGCTTCTGAGGAGCAGAGGTGACTCAACAGATACAGTTAACAATCTCTGCACCTGATGGTCCTCTAATGGGGTTGGAGAATTATTAGCCAACAGCTAAGACAAATTGAGATTTTATGAGAGGCATCAGTTCTCTGAAGCCACGAGAGCTGATTTCATGAGAGTGCTATTTGTACATCTTCAGGCTTGCTATTTAAAAAGAATTGTTCCGTTTTGACAAAATTGCTTTGAATGTGGAAAATTTCTTCCTATTATGGAGTGTCTCATTTTCAACCACTATATTGCATTCTTACTCATGCCGAGGATGGGGCAGGGATGTAGTAAATGCTCTGAATGATGATCTGAACTAGACTCTAGAGCTAGCCTAGGAGAGGTCACCTCAACTTGGGCTGCCCCAGCAGCAAGGCTGGCTGTGCTTACCCACTCACCCAGGACAAGTGTTTCTCAACCCTCCTTCCACTAGTCCTATTTGTTTACACCAATGTGAATAAATTATAAATTTAATTTATAATTTTCTGGAGGCGGGGCATAGTTTTGGCAGAGGTTTCCAGAAATCACCCCCCAAATGCAATGTGTTTCTCTACTGGGGAAGAAGGGACTTGCTCTCTGGGCCCCTTGCTATTCATAAAGCCTGTGATGGAGACATCCTGCTCCCTCAGGGGACCTCAGGTAGCAATAGCTAATATTGTAACAGGCTCATTGTGTCTAAGGTAAAGAAAATAAGGAGAAAAGAGATGGACATATTTTTAACGGAAAGTAGAAAGCAGATCTGTTGTAATCTGAGTATGGCAGAAGAGGAAATAGCATTGAAAAGGCATTAAGAGACATAGAAATCAGGTCTTATCATCATCTCAGTAACAATAATAACCATCACTTAGAGAAATGCCAACTAAGCACTTCATAAAAGTTATTTCATCTTCCCAAGAACCTTATAAGGTATATGGTATACCCACTTTGCAGCTAAGGAAACAGCTTAAATCGTGTGATACAGTAGAGTACTGGTCTGGAAGTCATATATTGGCTATATGACCTTGGGCAAGTACTTTGGCCTCCCTGGGCCTCCAATATGGGCTAGATTTCTCTAAAGCCATTTTTAGTTCTGATATAAATGGATTAACCTTGTAAAGCCCAGACAAATAAAACCCTTTACAAACCTATATCACTATCATACCACGCAAGGTACCATTTCCCTATTCAACAAGTACCATTACCACAGACAGACATGCCAGGCTCTGTGCTCAGTCCTGGGATGCACTTAGGCCAGCCTGCCCTTACGGAATTGACTTGCGGTGCCCCTGGGTTGTTTTTGTTGTTTAAAATACTTTGTTTTTTAGAAGAATTTTAAATTTATATAAAAGTTGAGGCAGTACAGACAGTTCTTATGTATCCTCTCACCTAATTTCTCCCATTATTAGCATCTTACATTGGTATGGTACATTGGAGCCTTCGTTTTTAGTCAACCCTATGCCAGAGCCCTGCACAGGGCCTGCTGTTTTCAGAAAGTATAATGTAGGAAGCAGTGCGATTGGGAGTCATGAGATTTAAGCACGTCTCTAAGCCAAGAACCAGTGAGCAAGTCACTTAAAACTTGAGTTTTTCCTTGTCCATAAAATGAAAGAAATACTCCTAGATTTGTAGCATCTTGTGAGATATGCGTAATATAACATGAATGTGTAAAGGTGCTTCTATTTGTAAATCACGGTAAACCTGGCGGAGAAGACTTCCTGCCACATTCCCCAGAAGGCCAAGCGTTCGTGGCAACCTCCGGACCATAGAGCTCAAATTCTAGCTGGGCCACTCGTTCGCCACTTCCGCTCGTTCGCCTAAAACCGCGCCTGCGCAGTGCGCTGCTTCCTCTGTGAGTTTCGACCTAGTTGGTGTCGACATGGTGAGTGTTGGTCCTGGTGAGGCCTAGGTATCTATCCGCCCGCATCTGTTGTTCTGTTGCTTTCTTCGACCTCACCCACCTCTGCTCGCCCGCGTCGTTCTGTATCCTCAGCTTCCGTGCCTTCGCCGCTCCTTTCAGACGCGGACTTCGGCGGAGGGGCGGGGCGGCTTGGTGGGGCCTGGCCCATTCGGGCCAGGTTAACAGGGAGCCCTCGGGGAACCAGACTTGCCCTTGGCCCTGGTTTACCGGGATGGAATGGGGGGCGCGGGGAGCTGGATACAGGCAGGGGCTGGGTGGGTGGAAAATGGTTACGGAAGCGCCGGGACTTGGTGTGCTTGGGGAGGTCTCCGTTCCTGGGTCCTAATATCGCTGGTTTCTCCCTTAACAGGCTAAACGCACCAAGAAGGTCGGTATCGTTGGTAAATACGGGACTCGTTATGGCGCCTCCCTCAGGAAAATGGTGAAGAAAATTGAAATCAGCCAACATGCCAAGTACACTTGCTCTTTCTGTGGCAAAACCAAGATGAAGAGAAGAGCTGTGGGGAGATGGAACTGTGGTTCCTGCATGAAAACAGTAGCTGGTGGTATCTGGACCTACAACACCACTTCTGCCATCACAATAAAGTCTGCCA